CATTTTGTGAAGTGTTAAAAAAATACAATAATAAAAATGTTATTTATCAGCCTAGTTTTTCCCAATACGGACCTCGCATCTGATGAATAACATATATTCATTTTAGTCGTGGGTACGCGAAACGTAGAAACGACTATTAGAATGGGGCAGAATATGCGGATGTGTCACTCACTCAGATGTAAACAAATCGATATGTCGAGTTTCGATTAATACTCGTCGCAGCAGCACATGCACGTGCAGTCAAAACTGATTGAAAGGCCGAAGGTAGATTATGAACATTGAATTCGAACAGTCTTTCACTCCTCGGGACGTTTACTCGTCGATCCTCCAAGCTCATGGGGGGTTTATAAATGGTGAGCCTTTTACGAGTGAATCTTACGAGCGAACCTATGAGCACTCATATCAGCAAACCTATGAATCAAACGTAAGCTAGGACAAAACTACTGGAAACATCAGTAGAAAAACTGATCAGTTCATAATATCCCATGAAAACACTCTTGAGGCGAAGCAGAACGAAACGCAGTTAGAAGACTTGCCTGATGGTAAAAGAATTCATGGAAAATTACAGAAACGAAGTAGTTCAAAGTCTCCTCGTATTAGAAAAGGCGCTAGCCGTGATAGAGAACCATCGAGATTACCTTGGAAGAAAATTCCGAACTTATTTAACAAGAATAAAGCAATTAAGAGGTATGTAAGATCTCATATCGTGAGCAGTGTGCCACATTCTTCAGCGTTGAAAAAGATTTCGTTTGATTACCGTAATTATCTTAAAACCAGAATGTGTAGAAGTAAACCAGTTGGAATCACTCGTGCATTCAAGATTAAGTAAAATCGTTGAATTTAAAGATTTTCATTTAAAGGTAACATCTGCCTCAACAGTTAATTTTTGTGATCAAGACTATTTTTATTTTTAATGATATCTTATGCAGATTATATCACATATATTGTACAAATTTTTATAATTATTAGCTAGTAGTAATCTTACTTTTATTTTGTATGTAAGTTAGTAATAGCATAGTTAATAGCATAGTTAATTCATAAAATGGGACACTTAGTACTGAACAGTGCTAGATACATTATGCTTGATTTGTAAATAATTTTAGGTCACAACATGGAAATACTGTAGTTTCATGTTATAATTTATTGTCGAAAGCTATAATTATTTCTCTAGTTACATATATACACATGCCAGTTATGCAATAAAATTATCAGTAACTATATAATGATGTCAACAGCAGTCTCCAGGGTTCTCATTAAGTGCCGGCAGCCGGCTAAAAAACCGGCTACCTTAAATTTAGAGCCGCCTACTTTTCGGTGACAAGCTTGCCTCCTTATTTTGTATCTACACATAGATTTCGAAGTTAAAAATCGCATGAATAGAACGAGTAATACTTGAAAGCCGTTTTCAGCAGCAAAACGTATTACACAATGCCAATGCACGCCTTCTACTTTCATGCCTTAGAAGAAGGCATGAAATGGCGTTCGGTGTGTTAGAAGAAGGCATGAAATCTTAGTATGTAATTAATTACAGAGTACCCATGAGTAAAAGAAAACCCACTTCAAGTCAGCCTGGAATTGATCGATATTTCTGTAAATCTCGAAGAACAGAAAGCCAGGTAGATGAAGGTGAGAAAACTACTGCCCTTTTTGGGGTGTAGTCTGGTCCGATTATTAGGATTCCAAGAAAAGAAAGATGTTCAGTAAAATTTATGGTTGTCTCTAATAAAAAAATTATTTCTTAAAACCAAATTTGTTTGCCAAAAGGCTCAAAATGGCAAATCTAACCTTCTATATTTTGAAGTTTTTCGGAGGGGAGGAGGGGAGGGGGCATGCTGCCAGACCCCCTTAGAGGCTCATGCCTGTGGTATCTAAATGTCCCTTAAGTGTCTTAAATCTAAATCATCGCTCAAAGTAATTTGTGATAAGCTTAAACCCGGTTTAAAAAAATCTTCGTTCTACATTTGATGATTCAAATGGACATGAAATCAAATGACTTAACTCACTCAAACTTGGCGAGAAAATTGTCTGCCATTGTCGAATCCCGTTTAATCTATCAATTAAGCAAAAACCACTTTACGCGCTACGAAAACGTTTTTTAATCACTTAATGAAAAGCAGAAGAGCTTTTTATGGTTTTGAGTCAATAATTTATCTCCTATAAACAAAATTACAGCATATTTTTGAGGCGTCCTACCTTCAACCTGAAAAGTGGCGTTCTGGCGTCTGCGACATGACATGCGCAGTATGTACATAGGTCCTCTAATGACTTCCGGTAGGCGTTCGTGACCTCAAGAACGTCTGGTGCTTAAGCTCTCTATTATCATCATTATCACTTGAGGCTAAATGATACATGAATTGAATTATAATTCAGTTTTTCTTCTCTTTCTGCATGGCAATTTATCATTGCCATTGGGACTGGTTAGGAGACCCGGCGAACATCAAAGGTGCGGCCTATTGTTTCGTACTTGATGTTGAACTGCACTGTGACGTCACAGCGAGAGTGCATATCAAAAACAAAGATGGCGGACATTGCGGAACATTTTCTCTTGTTTGGGGAATATTTGGACGGAATTCCAGAATTTTTGGGCCAGATAAAGATATCGAAGAGTAGTTTAAAGCTTCAATAAACAAGTGAGTACATATTTTTCATCATGGTAATAGATATTAGTTTTAGGACTAGTTTAAATGCACGACCCCATAAGCTCGAAGCTTTAAACACTTATCGTGTCGAAATAAAGTTGATGTTATGTTATGTTATGTTATGTGCTAAAGGTTCAAGGGTTTATTTTGGTATTGATTATGTTTATGTTTTCAAAACAAGAAATGCGAAACATAAAAAGACATCCCGAGTATCAATTGTCTTTCATGATGTATTTGTACACGTTGATCAAAATGTTATTCAATAAAGTGTAAGAAACGAAATCACAAGTATTGTGTTTCAAGGGCAAAGTTAATTATTTCAGGTGATATTGAGTTAAACCCGAGACCGGCCTGTTGTTACTCAGGGAAACAATCTAAACAATCTTATTGAATTGTTACAATCTCGATTAGCACAACATGGCTTGAGAATATTAGATGTTGGTGGTGCAGGTGATTGTTTCCTTAGAGTTGTGTCCCGTCAGTTGTATCGTGAACCTCGCTATCACATGAATATTCCTAGTATTGGTGTTCAATATATGAGAAACAATCCAGAAAGATTAATTGAAAGTAATACAGACCACTCATAGTTAAGGTATTTAGCTTTTATGTCACACCTGGGTACATATGGGCTGATGCAATAATGATACAAGCAGTTGCTCATGCAATTCACATTCTAGAATCTAATCCAGGATTTGCATTGGTTACCAATATCAGTCCATATATGTGCACGATCCTTCGCAGTAAAGCACTATTTAAGCAATAGTGAAAATCAGACCTGAAAAAAATTCAGGCCTGTACGGGATTCGAACCACTGACCTCTGCGATACTAGTGAAGCGCTCTACCAATTGAGCTAACAAGCCAACTGGGAGCAGGCCATCAAATTAATTCGACATAAACCCGTAGATGATAAATCAAACAACAAACATATGAAATACATTATATATGTACTAGTATCGCAGAGGTCAGTGGTTCGAATCCCGTACAGGCCTGAATTTTTTTCAGGTCTGATTTTCACTATTGCTTAAATAGTGCTTTACTGCGAAGGATCGTGCACATATACGTTTCATAACCGCAGTTCATATATATGTATTTCATATGTTTGTTNAGGCATTTATTTGTTAACTTCCCCTACGGTCCACGTAAAAATAAAGTCCTCTGCGTTCGGCCTGTTAAATCTTCTTCGAGCATGCGCCTGGGAATTATCCAAGTTTGTGGATAATCTGATTTGCAAAACCGGTCAGAACCTGTTTTAAACAGGTTTTTATGCGCACGCATCCTATTTACGAAGCGCGGGAATTCACCGGAAGTTGAAAGTTGGCCGAGTACTACCGGGAACTAATTTGTTTCTAAGCAACAGGCCCCGCATGCTCGAAGAAGATTTAACAGGCCGAGCGCAGAGGACTTTATTTTTACGTGGACCGTAGGGGAAGTTAACAAATAAATGCCTCTGCCAGCAGGGTAAACAGAGCTCTGCAAGCAAAGAGATCAGAAAATATTGAAAAAACAAGAGAAGCTCAAAGACGGGCATTTAATAGACACAAAGAATCAAATTCTGATCATATCAGAACTAAATAGGCAGGTATTTGCCAAAAGTAAAAAGAGTAACCCTCAGCATGTACGAGAAGTGAAAAAAAAAAAAAAAAAAAAAATACAAAGAATGAAAAGAGATCCTTGATGTCTGGGTTGAACCAAAGAGATCATGACCTACTTCAGCCATGATGAATGTTTACTAGATTAATTTTCACTAGATGTGCCGTTAAGGCACATCTAATGAAAAAGAAATGTAAAAAATGATTTAAATTCACAATCTAATATGTATGAAAACCCAACCTTTCCAACCTTAATAAGATATTCATTTTATAAGATATAAGATATATTCATTTTATAAGATATAATAATAAGATATTCAACAAGATATATTAAAAAGATATTCAACATTAATAAGATATTCATTTTAGGTTCATTAGGACAGATGCACTTAAAATGGTCAAACTAGCTAAAAAGGTTCAACTGGACAAGAGACCCAAACAAGCTGAGATGGCTTAACTGCTTAAATGTTCAACCCAGCTGAAATGTTTCCACTGGATAAAATGCAAAAACTAGCTGAAATTGTTCTTTTGGCCTAAATAATCAATTAGCTGAATTGATTCAGCTGGACAAAATGCACAAACTAGCTGAAATGGTTCAACCGCATAAAATACAGAAATTACCTGAAATTTTTCAACTGGTTTAAGAACTGGACAAAATGCACAAACTGGTAGAAACGTTTAATTGGCCAAACTGGTCAAACCAGCTGAAATGGTTCAAGAAGTGTAACACTACTTACTTACAAAAAAACTAATGTGGCTTTTTATACATACCCACGTCAATAAAGCGATATATCTTCTCTCTAATTCCCCTCTTGCTGAGAGCCTGAACATCGATGATAACCTTCACCTCACGAGGTCTTTCGTCTACATTCGCACTCTTAAAGACCAAACTACTGTGTGGAATCTCCACAGAGGTATCGTTACCACCAAGAAGGGATATTTCCTTTGTGGATTTAGTGTCGTGTATTGTGAACAGATATTCCGGTGCCTTTGGTAATCCACCCAACATAAACGAAAATTTGTCGCCAGGATTCAGAATAAACGTGATATTATCGATAATGACAACTTCTGGCTTTACATCTACAAGAAAAACAAAAAATAAGTGAGTTCTAAACAAATTGATAGTGCAAAGCAGTGTTGTGCTAAACGTTATTTGTGCTTCAAAGTATACATAGCATTTAGCTTTAGACATACTATCAAAGGCTCTGTGAGCCAACTCGTGAATTGGAAAAGCCAATGTAATTTGTGTCGTCAATAGAAATGGGTGTTTGATTTCCATACCAAGGTATGAATCGTTAGACTGGTAAATGAGCATTATGAGGAATATGATGTGAAACTAAATTAGGCCTCAAAGACAGAAAATATGGCCTGATTAGGATTTGGTGCAAGACAGTCCCTGTTCCAGATTTTACTGTAAAGGTTTGTGGAATGTAGGTTCAAAAGGGTGCTATTTTGTTTATCATAAAACTATTGTTCCAATATTGAGCTCAGTATTTACTTGCGACGCAAGCACAGGGATAGGCATGTAAAAGCTTATACGTTGGATGGAACGCACGGACATAAGGATAAGCATATATGCACAAGATTATCAAAACGTTTCCTTCTATTTATGCTTATACTGTCTAGTTAAGACTTGGTTGGCATAAGCGTAAGGATAAACATAAACGAAAGTCTTTCAGGCAATCAGCAAGCACTATACTGCTTATACCAACCATGTCCCTATTTAACATAACATCGACTGAGCGCTTGTGCTCATGTTTATGTTACAGCTGAGCCCACCTGCACATTAGCTTGTTATGTTTATGCCTATGCTTGTGTTGCAACTGAGTACTACCCTTGAAGCCTGTTTCGCACTTCTGAGATAATTATTAGCACGAGGATGAAAAAACAAGTACAAGGATGTTCACACCACTCTAAATTTTGTTTTTCGGAATTCTTATTGTTAGTCAGTGGATACTCAAAACAAGGATTTTTTCCTTATTTTGAGAGTCAATTCCTTGAAATGTAAGGATCAAGATTTCTGCTTTTAAGAATTTTATACTCTCCAATGAAAGTTCCTCAGTTTAAGAATACCACCATTAAAAATAAGATTTACATTCCTTGTTTTAAGAATTATGACTTTGAATTCTCATTTTAAGGGTATTTCCACTATTGAATAAATATCTCAAATCCTTGCTTTTAGCAAGTATTCATTCTATGTAGAAAGGTTCTTCTTCCAACTAGATTTATGATAAATGCTTGCCAAAATTTCAGAAATATCTGTGGAATTGTGCTTGTCAAATTCCCAAGGAAATATAACTAAATATAATTTGAAAAACGTTTTTACATTAATTTTTCTTTCAACACACTCAATATCTGTGATTCTTCATGAAACAAGA